AGTCCTTGACTGACCGTTCGGTTAGGCAAACCCTGGGGATCGAATTTTGAATTATTCTGGCGGGAATTACGAGAGGACGGACTCTTTTGAAAGGACGTTAATTTACGCGTTTCTTCTTCCGGTGATGATCGTACTCTGTTGTTACTGTCAATTGCGTGCGCTGGGGGAAAGTATATCTGTCAACCGCTATATAATAATTAATTACTACATATGTAGATCGGAGTATAAATTATTTTGCTTCGTATCACCATTTTGTTAATGCCTTTCTCCTATGTTCTAGCTATTTATTTAAGCTCATTAAATTACAGTTTTCGATTATAAAATTTTTAATTCAATAATTGGAGAAGAGTTTCGTATATGTAGAATGCTTTAAATATTTGAAATACAATTTTCATTTTATAAAATTATTTAGAAATTTGCAGAGATATATTGTTGACAATAAACGTTCGTTACTCAGATATTTTCTTCTGTAGCATCTTTTTTTAATATTAGATGACTTCTTATGTTGTCTTCGACGTACTTTAACGCGAACATTTAATTATTATATTTTTATAAACGTAAATAATTCAAATTTATTTAAATAAATTTTTTAATTGTACTTAGTAGTTATATTGTCTCTGTTCTGGCGATTACTTTCTCGATAGGAATAATTGTAAACTTCCCTCAGCGTGCAGTCCTGCCAACATTTCACCACCCATTCGTCAGACCTCTCGAATCTATGAAACCCGACCCGTGAATATGGCGAATTCTTCATTGTGATAACCCTTTAAACAAAATATCGTTCCCATGGGTATCTTTCATTGACATGCAATCAAAGTAATGCGGAAGTTCAACAGGGAATCGGAAAGATTATAAGCGTTCACGATCATCGGTCAGCGTGATTGGTACGACTGTCGAAGTACATTTAATCTCGCGATACGAGCTCAAAAGCAATGTTCTCACAGCGATTTCTTTGTTATGTATTATTATCGTCGATACCTTTTTACGTAAATCGATAAGTTGTTGATTAGTTGCTACACGCAGACGTAGGACAAATCATCGTAAGATCCCCATGAAGAATGGAACAGAAGAATCTGTGCGCAATGCTCAAATGATTCGTGCCGGTAACACCGTAAGAAATATATTTCTTTAGTATATATATACTAAAAGCAAGAATCAATTGACGCGGTACGCGCACGATTTCACAAAAAGCAAATACTCTAGTGTCTTACGATGATTTCGATACTCTTTGTTTTTTTCTTAATAAGCTTCGGTTGCTCAAAGGTTCCCTCTTCTCCACCGAGGAGAATGTTTCCCGCTCACGGAAACCGATCAATGAATATTCTTGCCACTGTTGTTCTCGCGCGTACACGCGTCACGATTTTTCTTTTCGCGTCGGCGATCAGCTCGCTCACCTCGTGTGAGACAAGGCGTTATCGTCGACGACGCGAGTCGCAGGTTAACGCGTAAATACACGAGCTTTCGTTGCACTTAACGCGCGCGACACCGCCACAAACGGTCGAGGATCGACGGTTCCCGCGCGAAACTATCTCGTGCGACTGTTCGCGTCGCCGATACACCTTTCACGTTCGGTTGATGTCGAATGTTCAGCGATTTACATATGTATATAAAACTTGCACACGGAACACACACGCATACGAATACACGCATACACATACACGCAAACGGACACACGACCAGAAAATTGTAATTTATCGTCAGTGTTACTTGAATGTTAGCTAAAGCTACCGCGTACGACGATTATTCGTTCCGACAGATATAATTACGGAATATATAATACACGTATTATAGCGAGTACATATAATATGTATATTATGTATCGTATAGAGGGATATATAGCCCGAACAGTTTATCCACGACCAAAAAGTGCCGAAACAATGGCGAGAAATATCGATGAAGGATGAAAAGACTCGTATCATTTCAATGTCGTTTGACGCGCACGATCGGGAGGGAACAGTCAATGCATCGCGATCGTGCGCGTTCGCAGACACGAGGTAAATAACACACACGTACGAATGATACATACTCTCGTATGCACCGTACACACATGCGTACACAGTATTGCCTCCCTATAGTCGCGCCGCTGCGGACTGGTGACGAGACCCTAACGAGGGAGGATCCTGCGATCACCGATTAGTGGCTCGATTTTTTTTCCTTCGCTTTTCTTTGCTAATCGGCATCCCCGTGATGCGTCGGGGATGGCGACGCGATTATAAGGAGGTCGAGGATGCGTGATTATAGAGAGGGAATATTGTACATGTACAGGGTGTCTCGCGTTTTCATCGCTAAACTGTAGCCACGTGTTCCATGAATAAAAATATGATAAGATGTATCGTATACATTTTGGCTCATGAGTGTTTTATTAGACGATTATGGTTTTGATACACTGTTAGTGGTGAACGTTTATAAGGTGTTCGGGTGTGTAGAACACAACGAGACGCAAGCTTTAATTAGAGCGAAAATTTCTTTTCGTTTTTCATCTTTCTTTGGATCACGTAACTTTATGTATGATTCGATGCACGTTGATATTATTGTTTAAAATGGTATTCATTATTTAATATAATATTGCAAATTGAGTTTTGTATTAGTGGGGTTAAAAGTTTGAGGTAGCATTGATCTGACAAATTTTCTGTTGAATACTACAAATTTGGTTTGTTCTCTTCAAAGTTGCTTATGAAAATTGAAATTTTTGTAAAAGTTCGAGTCTTCATTATAACGAAAGCACGGGATAATTCAAATGCAGAATAAATGTAAGAAGGGTCTCATAAAAATGATTCTGAGCAATGGATTTTGTTTTCCTTTTGAGAATTCTACTAAATTGGAATGAATACAATAAATTCGTGTAACATTCGCTACATTAAAGAACGCCAAACCGTCGAAATTAATCATTTCTAAACAACATAAAAACGATTGCAATATTCTACGAAGAATTAGCCATTAAAATTTCGCGCAGTTACAAACTATCGATGAAACACTGATGAGCCTTCCTTTATGTGGCATTTTGTTTTGTCATTTTTACACATACAACGTACAGACACGGTACAGTGGATTACACCTGAGACACCCGGTACATGATAACAGTAGGCATGTCCAATTGGGGCCTTCGCGAGCAAGAGCGTTCTTCGCAGTTCGAGAGCGGCTACGAGAGCAAAACCCACAGAACAGGGTGAGAAAAGTATCCCAATAAAGGAAAAATTTCGTAATCCACGAGAAACGTTTAAAAATCACCCTAAAACGTGGTGGCTGTCAAAACTGCGTCTCGTGACGCTGTCGACCGTCGTTCGCTCTTTGCTCGCCGAAAACAGCTCTCGCGCGAGCAACGTGTTGGACCTGCCCGGGTACCTATACAGGAACAAGAAAAAGGGACAAAGGAGAGTTTTCGTAATCATTAAAGAAAGAAAAAAGAAAAAAACAGCGGAGCAGCTGCACCTCTTTTTTTATTCTCACACGCACTCACACCACACTGATGATCTTCAATCGACATTCTTTTTTAGCGGTCAGAGAGGGAGAGAGTGAAAGGGTGAGCGAATGAAAGGGAGAAAGGGAGCGAGTGAAAGACAGAAAGAAAGAGAGAGAGAAAGAGAGAGGGTGAGTGAAAGAAAGAACGAGCGAGAGAAAGAGAGAGAGAGAGAGAGAGAGAGGGATCGCGGATTTTACCACCGCTCGAATAGAGATTTAATGTTTGTAAGGGCAATAACAATTGTAAATTTTTCAAGTACACTTGTATTTGAATGTGTAAGTTGCATAAAAAAGACAGATTTTTTAGATATTGCACTATAATATTTATTATTCTAAGGTAAACGAGAGACAGGGTCGCGATTCGCCGCGCTCGCGAATACCTCGCCCGCGCTTCCACACGCTTTTCTGTCGGCCTCGATCGCGTGACGATCCTCCACTCAAGATCGGACGGCAAACGGGACCGACGGCAACACGGGAGATCCCTGAATCGCCATGTTTTCGCGAAGTGTTTCATTTTCTCTCCCACGTTCCACCCCCAAGACCGACGGGGGTGGAATTATCATTCAGCGATCGACGCCACGAGTCGCAAGCGCGGCCGCTTCGCGGCGATCATTGATTAATATTAATTAATACAGAGGCAAAGCGATCGCATTGTTCTTTCCAATAAAAGAAGAAGCAAGATTTTTAGTGTTTACACTACAATTGATAAACGATTCTATTATTACATAATATTATATTAATAACAATATTATTACTGTAATGTTTGTTTTTGGTTATTAAAGTGTGTATATAGCAATATATTCTAGAAATGGTCTCCCTTATCGTCTTGCATACCCATCCCCCGTTTTATCGGTTTATCTACTTATCTTTTCTTTTATCTATGACGATTTTCACTTTGTGAACTTCGATCGTCGGTTCTTTGAATACGGTACTAGAAAGCGCTCTGTACAAAACGTTGACAAAATTAATCGTTTATGATCTATTAGTTGATTGTACATGTATTTATATGTTTCCAAGTTTTTTTTTTATTAATGTTAG